GTTTTTGTTCCCCCCCCCCCCCCCCCCCCCCCCCGGTTGTGTGTGTGTGTGTGTCTCTTGTAGAGAACAGATCAAAAAGAGATTTGATTCAGATGTTGGTCCAGAGAGGTTATGAATCTGATCCAGTAAAAGCCTGGAAAGAAGCACAGGAAAAGGTAATAATCTGAAATCTCTGGATATACTTGATGCTTTTAATGTTATAAATGATAATAATTTATTCAAATGTTTGTTTTCTAGTAGTCTAACTTAATTTATAACACACATAACACTTTAAAAAGATCATTCATTACTCCTTATTAGCTTCCATTTTTAAAAATACATTAAACTTGTACAAAAATATTGTCACATAAAATTGGTATCATATATGGATAATTCTTAGAGGAAAACTAGATACAAGTCTGAAAATGAGAATGCAGAGGATTGAATTTCTTAATGTACCCAAATCAAAAGTAGCAACTTGATTTCTGACTGGTCGATATATAAAATGCTGCATCAGTTACCCCACACATATAACTGATTTTCCCCTTATTATTTCTTTGTCACATGATTGCAAAATGTAATTATTTATTTTCTGCAATGAAACGTGAATATTATAAAGCTATGACTTTTGAACTTAAATAAATTTGACCTTGAACTATATTTATTTCTGCTTTTTTAAAACCCAGGAGTTTTTTATTGTTCCAAAAGAGATATGTGACAAGTTTAATTTCACGCTTTACCATGGAAAGATGAAACTAATGATTAAATAGTCCAACTATAGAAGGTCACAGGAACATGGCCTGTTGGAAAGGTCCAGAAAAATGTTAAGGTTATTGAATCTGAGGGCACACCTTGCTACCCTGTGATGGTGCTTTGGAGCAATATTAACAGTTCATGCATAGAGCTAAGATTATTAATATTAATACTTGTAATTGTGAATATTTCACTTTAGGCAGCAGAAGAGGAGGACCCACAGAACCCGAATGATGACGCTTCCTCTGCTTCTGGCTCAACTTCTGGCCCTGACTTTAACTATATCTTAAACATGTCTCTGTGGTCACTCACAAAAGAGAAAGTAGAAGAGTTAATTAAGCAGAGAGATTCAAAGGTTGGTAGACCATGGAAAGCTTGTTCTGAAATGATATAGTAATTACTGATGCGTCTAATTGTGAATGTTCAATTTCAATAGTACTTACTTTAGTTGTAACTTAGTAACTTACATTCCGTATACTACTTTCATGTTTTAGGAGAGAGAACTAAATGACCTTAAAAGGAAATCTTCTTCAGATCTCTGGAAAGAAGATTTAGCGGCCTTTGTTGAAGAGCTTGAAGTATGTTTTATTTTACATACCTTTCTAAAAATATGAAATTTAAATTAATTTGATGAAAAACATTAATTAGAAGTATTCAAATTTAAGCAAAAAATAATAAAACCCACCACATTTTGGATTAAAAACAGATAGACCCCCAAATAAGTGGGAAATCAATATTGGGTATTTGTGTTCCTAGTTGTGTTCCTCAGGGATTGTTTCTTGCATCTATACAATTTAATGTTTTGTCCAAGTCAGTGATGATAAAAGAAAAATGACCAGGAGAAAACTTGTTATCAGATGACACAAAAAACTGGGAGTAGTAACTGGTAATAGTAAAAATTATAGTAGTTCTACATGATCTAATTGGTCGTGAGGCAATAAGTGTTGTCAAATACAAAGCTGTAGATGTAGGAGCAAAGTAGACCATAAGTACTATATGAGGGGCTTTGCCTCATCAATAACTCTGGAAAGAGGTGAAGTCCTATTGGTGGATAACTTGCTGAGCTTTCAATGTTGCCTGCAAAGGGTTGGTGTAATCTTTTGAAGTGACACAGGATAATAGAAATAAGACTTTTTTTATTTCTCTGTGTGTTCATGATACAGCTGCAATTGGAAGTGTTCTGTTCAGATGTCTGTATTTCAGCTATGTGTTCATACTGTGAAAAAAGCTGATTAAAGGACTGGAAAATGTGCCTTAAAAACGACTCTAGAAACTAGCTGCTTAAATTAAATGCTTAAATACTGAAAAGTTACATCAGTACCCAGACACATACAGGAGAAATAGAAACTTGATAAAAGAAAGATTTTCAGTCTAGCAGTGTCCAAAAGTTCGTATTTATTTAATCTTGAATAAAAGTGTAGTTTTTAACTGTACAGGGTAATGAAGAATTTACCAAGATTAAGTGGTTGGTTTTCCATTACTGGAAAGTGTGATACAATTCAAGTGACAATTAAGGGAAGTCTTATGCTCCATGTTAAAAGGAGATGAATCTTAAATTATCACCATGTTCCACTTTGTCCTCGTTAAAAAAGAATGTGTTCCCTCCACCCCACCCTGCTTGTTTGTTAGAAAGTAGAAGCACAGGAAAGAGAAGATGTTTTGGCTGGCATGGTTGGCAAACCAATAAAAGGCAAAGTTGGGAAACCCAAGATGAAAAAACTTCAGTTGGAAGAGACCATGCCATCACCATTTGGCAGAAGAATAGTTCCACAGATTACATCTGCCATGAAAGCTGATGCCAGTAGAAAATTGCTGAAAAAGAAAAAGGTAAATCAAAACTATTGCTATAGTTAGATTATTTATTATTTAACTGCTATATTTTTCTACTCTGGTAGCATAAATCCAAACCGCTAGACCTCCTTAGTGCTGTATTTATACTATTTTACTGACCTAATGCATGAAGAAGTTAATACTGGATTTCTTTTACATTTGCAAGCCTCTTGTGACTACTTATTGTTCAGGTGTTTTTAGTGAGATTTCTTCTTTCCAAGACTGTTCAACAAATGTCAATATACTAGTCTACTTTCATTTATTAGCTTCTACAAAACTATTCCAGTCCTATCTTGAAATATAAAGGTGTAATTTATTTTATTTTTCCCAACTTTTTTATATTTTTAGGGTGAAACTGATTCTCTAGCAATAAAAATGGAATTTGATGAAGAATTTGGTGGTGTGCCAGCTGAGGGTGGTGGGGATGACTCACTGAATACATCAGCCACAGCAACTAAAACCCCTAAACCTAAGAGAGAGAAGAAGGAGCCTGGTAAGATCCTTACACAGTCATAGTTAACCTTACTTGTGTATACTAATTGGGCATTAAATATATTTTTAACACATAGTGAGAAGGGAAATATACCACAATAAGCACTATTTTGTCTGATTTTTTCCCTAACGATATGTGTGGAAACACTCGAAAGTACTCTGCTGAAATTTCTGTTAGGCAAGTTGTTTTTCTGGGGGTGGTGGATCTTAAATTTGCTACACTTGATTTTCTAGGGGGTCTAAATCTTTGAATTTGTGAGTAGAAAAATAGATTATTTTTACATAATTAGACTATTTCTGTGCAAACTAAAATTTCTAGTTTGCATGCTCTCTGATGTTGAAGGACATGGCACTCTCCTTCAGTGTGAGTAATAGCATAGATTGTAAAGCTTGATTAAATAAATATATTTTCCTATTGACATATTCAGTCATTCTGACTTTTGAAAAGTTATGCATGTTATGGCTTGACAGACTAACCAATGTATGTGTTAACTTCCCTTTCCTCTGTAGTAGGAATTTATTATTACCATTTGAGAAATACATAGTAATGGGGGGGCATGTGGAGAGTTGACCCAGACTGGACGCCAGGTGCCCACCAAAGCTGCTCTATCACTCCCCTCCTCAGCTGAACAGGGGAGAGAAAATACAATGAAAGGCTCGTGGGTCGAGATAAGGACAGGGAGATCACTCACCCATTACCATCATGGGCAAAACAGACTCAACTTGGGGAAATTAGTTTATTACCAGTCAAATCAGAGTAGGGTAATGAGAAATTAATAAAGTCCCTCAGCACAAGAGGACATGGACCTGCTGGAGCGGGTCCAGAAGAGGGCCACCAAAATGATCCGAGGGCTGGAACACCTCTCCTATGAGGCCAGGATGAGAGAGTTGGGATTGTTCAGCCTAGAGAAGAGAAGGCTGCGAGGAGACCTTATTGTGACCTTCCAATACTTAAAGGGGGCCTACAGGAAAGATGGGGAGAGTCTTTTTAATAAGGCCTGTTGTGACAGGACAAGGAATAATGGATTTAAACTAAAGAAGAATAGATTTAGACTAGACATTAGAAAGAAGTTTTTTACAATGAGGGTGGTCAAGCACTGGAACAGGTTGCCCAGAGAGGTGGTAGAGGCCCCATCCCTGGCAACATTCAAGGTCAGGTTGGCTGGGGCTCTGAGCAACCTGATCTGGTTAGAGCTGTCCCTGCTCACTGCAGGGGGTTGGGCTAGATGACCTCTAAAGGTCCCTTCCAACCCAAAGCATTCTATGATTCTATGATTGATTCTAAATAAAACTAAATCTTAAAACACCATCCCTCCACCCCTCCCTTCTTCCCAGGCTTAACTTTACTCCCGAATTCTCTACCTCCTCTCCCCCAGAGGCGCAGGGGGATGGGGAATGGAGGTTGCAGTCAGTTCATTACATGTTGTCTCTGCCGTGTGGTGTCCCTCCCATGGGAGGCAGTCCTCCATGAACTTCTCCAACATGAGCGCTTCCCACAGGCTGCAGTTCTTCATGAACTGCTCCAGTGTGGGCCCTTTCCACAGGGTGCCGTCCTTCAGGAGCACACTGCTCCAGTGTGGGTCCCCCACGGGGTCACAAGTCCTGCCAGCAAACCTGCTCCAGCGTGGGCTCCTCTCTCTCCACGGGTCCACAGGTCCTGCTAGGACCCTGCTCCGGCGTGGGGTCCTGCACAGGCTGCAGGTGGATATCTGCTCCACCGTGGACCTCCACAGGCTGCAGGGGCACAGCCTGCCTCACCATGGTCTGCACCATGGGCTGCAGGGGAATCTCTGCTCCAGCGCCTGGAGCACCTCCTCCCCCTCCTTCTTCACTGGCCTTGGTGTCTGCAGAGTTGTTCCTCTCACATATTCACACTCTTCTCTCTGGCTGCAGTTGCTGTTGCGCAGGAACTTTTTCCCTTTCTTAAATATGTTATCTCAGAGGTGCTACCACTATTGCTGATGGGCTCAGCCTTGGCCAGTGGCGGG